CAAAACAAAACAAAAACAAAAACAAAAAAAAAACGAAGCATTGCAATAGGAGGAACGAAATAGGAGAACAAAAAAAGCAGAACATGAAGGGCCGCTCTTAAGGTCTCAAGTGGTGGCAAGGGGATCGCGGGGAGGGCGTTAGAGGGGGGGGGGGGAGAGGAGGGGGTTCGATACGTCACGACACCCTGTGACCTGCACTCCTTTCGAACAAGTGGCCGGCTGCCGTCCCTCGCGCCCGCTGCGTGTCACTTGGTCCGTCCTGTTGTTGTTGTTGTTGTTGTTGTTGTTGTTGTTGTTGTTGTTGTTGTTGTTCTTCTTCTTCTTCTTCTTCTTCTTCTTCTTCTTCTTCTTCTTCTTCTTCTTCTTCTTCTTCTTCTTCTTCTTCTTCTTCTTCTTCTTCCCCCCCTCCTCCTCCTCCTCCTCCTCCTCCTCCTCCTCCTCCTCCTCCTCCTCCTCCTCCTCCTCCTCCTCCTCCTCCTCCTCCTCCTCCTCCTCCTCCTCCTCTTCCTTCATCTCCCCCTCCTCCTCCCTCTTCACTGGCGAAAGAAGATAACGGCCGAGGGGGAAAGAGTAGAGAGATGATGGAAGATTACTCTAGTATAATGAAGACGTAGGGTGGACACCTAAGCCAAGCTGATGATGTTTGGATACCGGTCGCCTTATCGAGGGGGACTTCGAGAAGAGAGGGAGAAGGAGGGAGAAAGAGGGGGGAGGAAGAGGGAGTGGGAGAGAGGAGGGGGAAAGGGGGAAGGGGGGAAAGATGAAAGAGGAAAGGGATAAGAGGTTAGGTAATATGTGAAGACTAGGAAACCAGAGAGAAAGAGAGAGGGAGAGGGAGAGGGAGAGGGAGATGGAAAGAGAGAGGGAAAAGGGAAAGGGGGGAAGCGAGAACGAAGAAAAAAAGAGAAAAAACAAACTACTACGGTGGAAATTTCAATCGTCGCCGAACCTTTTCCTCTTCTTCCCCCCTTTGAGTCCTTTGAGGATGTCTGGAGGAGGCGTGGGGACGGCGATGTGTGTGTTCTGTGAAAATAGACGAAAGTGACGTAGAGAAAGTTTTGTGTGTATTCGCTTATGAATAAGGTAACATCAGTGAAAGGGAGGATACGGCTGACTAGTGTGTGTGTGTGTGTGTGTGTGTGTGTGTGTGTGTGTGTGTGTGTGTGTGTGTGTGTGTGTGTGTGTGTGTGTGTGTGTGTGTGTGTGTGTGTGTGTGAGAGAGAGAGAGAGACACACACACACGCACACACATATCATGGAAGGGTGTGAAAGAGAAAGTATGAGTATAAGACGAGTGTTTGATCGTAGGAATACGAGTAAAGGAGCGAGAGTGTAAATGTGAGAACGAGAGTGAGGCTGTGAATGTGAATGCGAACTTTTTGTGTGCGCACGATTTGCTTTTGTTTTCCACTTCTTTGAGCATCGGTGTCCAAGCCAGAGTGTGAAGCACAAATTGTATTTCGACTTTTGGTGCGTGTTAGTGAGACAGGTAATTTGATAAGCGAGCCATGTGCGGACGACGCTTGTCAGGCAGCGGTGTGTTCATGGGCGGTGACGTAATAGGGTAAAACAATTAGGATATTGCGTACGATTAGTGTTCTTTCGTTTTATGGAAAGGGGGGGAGGGAGGGAGGAGGAGGGCTAGATGACCGACCTTGATCTTGCGCTAAAGGAAGGACGCAAAAAAGGGAGGCAAAACAGGTTCTAGCATTTCTTTGTGCACCGTTTATTTGTTGGCTTCCTTTTGATGGGAAGTGTGGCGTGGCGGTCGTATTTTTATTGAAATATATTCCTGGCTGAATGTACGATGTTCTCTACCTTTTAATTTGATGAAAATCAAAGCAGTGCCGCTTATGACTTTTGATAGCGAACCACAGAGACTGTAATAAATATTGTTGTTATTGCCTTATTGATAAATCGAAGCCAATCACCATCATCGCTATCATTCTCATCATCACCACCATCATCATTATCGCTTATCATTCTCATCACCATCGTTACACCACCACCATCATCATTATTCGCCATCACCACCACCGCCATCACCACCCCCGCGACGCCCCCTCCCGTGAGCGCCCGCTCTGTTGCGCGCCTCCGTGCATGCGAGGCGCCCCCCCTGGCCGCGTCTGACCGCCCTGTTCTCACCTGACGCAGCTGAGCGAGAAGGTGGTGGAGGCGACGGCGTCGGGCTTCAAGGACAGAACCAAGCGGAGATTCTCCTTGCCGACGGGACCTCGCTTCGACTCCCGCCGCTCCTCCATCGTGTCCATCTGCTCCTCCACATGTAGGACTCCCGCCCTCCTCTTCTTTCTTCCTTTGTTCCGTCCTATCTCCCTCCCTCCTTCTATTTCTTCCTTTATTCCTTCTTTTCACTCTTCTGCTCTCCTCGCCTTTCTGCGCGCGCGCGCAAAGGAGGCAAAGCGCTTACATACCCTCACGGCTGTATACATTCCCTTGCCATCCTCTCCTTCCTCCTCCCTCCTCCCTCTTCCTCCTCCCTCCTCTCCTTCCCCCACCCCCCTCTCCTCCCTCCTCTCCTTCCCCCCCCACCTCTCCTCCCCTCCTCTCCTCCCCCCACCCCCCTCTCCCGCCTGCCTCTTCCAGACACATAAACATCCCCGCCCTCCCCTGTGCATATGTTTTAGACACAAATGGGGACAGCGGTGGAATACGGATGGAATAAATGCCATTGTTTGTGACAGCATGGAGCTAGCATGCATTATGCTGTAATTATTGTTTTTTTTCCTTAGAAGGTGGACTTTTTCATCTTTATATTTTTGCCTCGAGTGAGTATTTATAGATTAAGCGCGTGTACCTGGGGTGGACGAAGCCTTTCTGTGCGAGGCAGATAAGCCTTTATCTGATACGTGATGCAGCGGTGAGGTCCTCACGCGCGTTGAGGTTGTGAGAGCGCTGGAAAACCGTCTGCTTCCGTGCTCTTCCGAGTGCCGCGGCTTTGAAAGGGTGCAATTAGGCCGAGACAATGCGCAGTTGTCAAGAATGAGGATGTGACGAAGGCTTGCGTCGCTCTGAGACCGGGACACTTCCTGGCGAGAAGTTGGACGAATTTGTAAAGCTCTTTCAGCAACTTTTTCCTTCCTAGATAAACTGGAATGGACGACTTTTGCTGGGCGCCCATGTTCGGTGCGAGCCAGTGGCGACGCCGGGAAACTTTCCGTGGTCTTCTTCGCCCCCGTGTTTGTTCGTCGACTGATCCTTCCCTGAGGACAGGCCGTGGGCGGGAGGCTGAGGACGCCGTTTATTTGTTCCCACGCTGCCACGAGGCTTTCAGGCCCCTGGCAGAGCGGTGCAGACGACGCGGCGCTGCGGCTATTAGGAAAGTCGCGAGGTCGCCTCCTTTGCCAATTAAGCCGTGACAGGTTGCGTCACTGCGTCAGTCTCGCTCGCTCCCTTTCGGGCTCTCGCTGGCTCCACGTGTCACGCCCTAATCGGCTCTCGCAGGTCACGGCCTAATCGTCCTGCTTGGCCTGCTCTCATTGCCTGCTGGATGGCGCTGTGCTCCGATGGGGCGTCACGCCGTGGGTAGGATTCCTCTCATGAATTCACGTTGGTTGAGGATTGCATTTCTCCGTCTTCAGCTTTTACTCCAAGAGAGTGAAACACACACACACACACACACACACACACACACACACACACACACACACACACACACACACACACACACACACACACACACACACACACACACACACACACACACACACACGTATTCATTCTCTCTCTTATTCGTCTCGCTGCAGAACATCATGATTCTAGGTAATGGGAAGGAAGGGCAAGGGTTCACCAGCGACGTCATCGGCCATTTATCATACCGGAAATCAGGACCTTTTGCAAATATGCGCTGTTGACCTTTTGATTCAAGGCCGAGGGATTAGCATCCACTATCGGATGTTAATCTCTTTCATTTTAGCAAATCAGTTGCTTGAGTCTGTCAGTCACTCCCATCGGTTCGATGGAATGGGGCTCCTGTGTCTGTTTGGTGACGAGCGAAGGCGAAACCGAGGCCCATGGGCGGCACTCAGAGGCGTCGAGAACCCCAGAGACTGCCTACCGGGTGTTATTAGATTCCGCGGGGAGCAATGTATTCCATTAACTTTGCGGAGAAGTTAAGGTGAGTAAGCGTCCTCGAGGCAATGTTTACCTCGTGGGTGGCTAGATAAGAAGAGGAAGGACCGGGAAGGATGCCGGGAAGATGTAAGCAAAGTCTAAGGGTTGTGGAGTGCGGGCTGGCGCCTGTGCATGTGCGGGGAGGGTACGAGATGATCACTCCTCTCGTTGTCTCCCAATTTGCATGTTTAGCTTTTGTGCTTCTTAATTTCTGCTTCTTTTTTATGTTCCTTGCCAAGCTGTACTTTTTTTCTTTTACCTGTAGTAAGTGTCCACGGTGCCTCTATTTATGTGGTATGTATTTTAGATATTTTTTTTTCCATTGTGGATACAAGGTCGAGTGTGTAGTCCTCCATTTGTGGGGTGGCCTCTAAGCGCGAGACTGCGTTCGTTTGAATGACTGATGTGTGGAGGGTCTGTAGCCTCCGAAATTTAAGTATAGGTTTTACTGGTTATCAAGGTAAGTGGCGCTTTTGATTTCTTCTAGACATAGTACTTCAAGGATAGCGTTGGTGAGTCCTGAGTTCCAGTTCTTGTACGGTGATAAAGGATGAACTTATTTTTCTTTTCGTATTGATAAGCCGATATAGCTGAAATAATTGATCATTTGTATTTACGTGTCTAAAAGGCAGTCAAGCACATTTCCACTCTGCCAAAAAGTGCGAAACTTTTGTCTCAAAACGTTTTTTTTTTTACTTGGAGTATTTCATTTCAATTTTCAACCGAGCACAGCGTTGAGTATCACGCAATAAGACAAAAAAAAATAGTGGCTGTTTATCCGAAGACGAGGCACACCGTTTTTATTTTTATTTTTTTCCCTTTTTTTTTAAATTTTATGCTGACAACATGTTTTTGTTTCCCGCCGACAG